GTAGTTCCTGCCAACCAATCATACTGCTGCATTGTTCTAGGACCAATCAGACTGCTGCATTCTGAATCCTATTGTTCTAGGACCAATCAGACTGCTGCCTTTTGGATCCTATTGTTCTAGGACCAATCAGACTGCTGCAGTTTGGATCCTATTCAACTCAGTACATAACATAAGCCCAATGGGAAAGACGGCTCTGCTTCTAGCAGTTCCCTCACTGAGAGAAGTGAAGTTACAGGGAACCAGGCAGAAGGCCTTCCTGCCTGTGGAACGCCAAGGGGATAAGTAATTATACAACTTTTAGAAGACATCTGAATGCCGCCCTGTATTGGGAGGTTGTTTAATGTTTTATTATGTTTTTAAATGTGTTGGTAGCCGCCCAGAGTGGCTGGAGCAACGCAGTCAGATGGACGGGGTATAAATAATAAAATTGCCATCGTCATCATCATCATCCCTGACAGTTGGCCACGTTGCCAGGGCTGAAGGGAGTCTGACAACATCCGCAAAGCCATGCGTTTCCCATTCCCGACCTGGCTGGGGGCGATTCACACATCCACATTATTTATAACTTGATGAGTGTGTCACGTGTGAAGCCATTTGTCCATCCTTTCTTTTCTGCCGTTGTCTGCTGCTGAGAATAATCTCTGCAGGCAATGCAGCAATTTAGGACAACATAAATGCTAATGAAAAATCTATTTTATTCCCAGGGTGGCATTTGTCTACACAAAGTTATCCAGTATATCCCCCCCACAAACACACACACAAAAGCAAGACAGTTGGGAAATATTGGCCTCTGAGTGGGCAACTGGCAAAGAGCATCAAAAGCAGTAGGACTGCACCACCTAGTTCTTAATTTGTGCATTGAAGTCCTTTTCAAGAGCTGCTCAGCCATCTGATATTAGCGGAAGGGCTGGAACATTTGCCTTGCATGCAGAAAGCATCTCCAAGAAGGTCTGGGAATGTGCCCTGACAGTGTGTAGCTTGATGAACCTATGATCTGACTTAGTATAAGCCAGCTTCTTATATTTCAGCGCTAATTACTTCTCTCTGCTGTTCCTGGGCTGCCACCCTCACTCCTCCTTTTGTTATTTTTGAGCCTTATACTTCCTAATTATGTCTCTCCTCTGCTCAAGTCTACAAGAGGAGGCTGTGGGTTGTGAGACGCAGTTGCTGATACATGCTAATAAACCCCTCAGGCTGGGTCACGCTTTGGGTGGAATATTACCTACATATTTTCCTTTTCAGCCAACCAATTAGCAAGAGCCCACCCACCTCCTTGCCTTTGTACCTTTAAGAAGAAGAAGAAGAAGAGTTTGGATTTGATATCCCGCCTTTCACTCCCTTTAAGGAGTCTCAAAGCGGCTAACATTCTCCTTTCCCTTCCTCCCCCACAACAAACACCCTGTGGGGTGAGTGGGGCTGAGAGACTTCAAAGAAGTGTGACTGGCCCAAGGTCACCCAGCAGCTGCATGTGGAGGAGCGGAGACGCGAACCCGGTTCCCCAGATTACGAGACTACCGTTCTTAACCACTATACCACACTGGCTCTTAAAACAAGCACAACAGAGGATCTGCAAAGTTAACTTTTAAAAATCCTCCTGTCGCTAGCTCATTATACAGTGTTGGGAACATTCCTCTTTTATCCTTTCAGTCAACGGAGTAGCCAACCAGCCATGGGTTGCAGCAGAAATGAAACAAATAGCATTTATCCCGATGTGTTTAAAGCATGTTTAAATATCTTCCAGTTAGTAATTTGCACAGGGCACAGTTTTCAGTGATTTTCCCTGTCGTATTCCTAACTTCCAAAAGTTGGTTTCTTTTAAAAAGTGGATTTGTCGTGGTGGGCAACAGAGTCCTTAGGTAAAGGGACCCCTGACCATTAGGTCCAGTCGTGACCGACTCTGGGGTTGCGGCGCTCATCTCGCTTTACTGGCCGAGGGAGCCGGTATTTGTCCCCAGACAGCTTCCGGGTCATGTGGCCAGCATGACCAAGCCGCTTCTGGCAAACTAGAGCAGCGCATGGAAAAGGTGTTTACCTTTCAGCCGGAGCGGTACCTATTTATCTACTTGCACTTCGACGTGCTTTCAAACTGCTAGGTTGGCAGGAGCAGGGACCGAGCAACGGGAGCTCACTCCGTCGCGGGGATTCGAACCACCGACCTTCTGATCGGCAAGTCCTAGGCTCTGTGGTTTAACCCACAGCACCACCCGCGTCCCTAACAGAGTCCTTAATTCCTGTTAATTAGCTAGTATTCACCTGAATCCCTCCTGCAAGTAAAAATAATAATATAACCAGAATCTTTTTAAAAATAAAACCTTGTGTCTATTAGCTGCACCAAGATCAGTTAAATTGGCAATCCCAGACTAAACAGTAACCTCAGAAAAGCATTAAATGTTAAGTAAATATAGTAAATATTAAAAGGATGCCTCATTTACAGAGTAATCCTGTACATGTTTACTCATAAGTAAGTAACCTGTGCTCCATGGGACTTGCCCTTGGGAAAACATGTGGTAGGATTGCAGCCTTAATGTCAGATTTCACAGTTCCAAATCAATATATTAGCTGCACCAGATTAATTGCTATTAATAACAGCCTCCTGCTGTTAAGTAACACGATGTTTTTGTAACTAAGTTACAAAACAGTAAACACTTTCTAATCAAGGACAATGCTCCATCTGCAAAGACATTAGCAGCATCCAATTCTCAACTTTCGGGACATTAAATTGAGCTAAATTTTCAGATATGTTAACAGAGCTTCTGTCCAAGTTGTTGATAGAAGTGAGTGTTCGCAGGTGTCTTGCACAAATGTCTGGCAAAAAAACATGAATATTTGAGTGATATTTGTCCCCAATCAGAAAAGCAGAAAATTGTCCTATGAAAGCTGTATCCTCGTCTTTGTACTGTACAGGCAAATCTGTTTATTTGTCCTTGCTAATGTTGAACCATAGCGGCATCTGGTGGACATGGGCTAGTATTGCGAGATGAATTTAAGTCTTCAATAGATTGAAAGGAGCAGAGTGACATGCCTGAGTAAGGAGCCCACTGAGGGCTCCCAGCATTTGGGACCCTCTCCAAACCTGTGCCAAGTTTTGCAGTTGTTTTGCAGCGAAAATGCTACGTTTTGCAGCAACCCACAAACTGAGTAATTGATACATGAAACATGGGATTTGTAGTCATGGATCTAACCAGAGGGCGGCGGGGGGGCAGCTGCCCTCCCTAAATCAACCAAAATCAAGACAAATTACATATCTGAGGTTCTGCCCCCCTAACAAAAGCCTGCCCCCCCCAAAAAAAATTCATGGCTACGCCCATCTTTGTAGTTAACACCCAAAAATCCAACATTATCTCATTTACAGTGGTACCTCGGTTTAAGTACTTAATTCGTTCCAGAGGTCCGTACTTAACCTGAAACTGTTCTTAACCTGAAGCACCACTTTAGCTAATGGGGCCTCCTACTGCTGCCATGCTGCCGGAGCACGATTTCTGTTCTCATCCTGAAGCAAAGTTCTTAACCTGAGGTAATATTTCTGGGTTAGCAGAGTCTGTAACCTGAAGCGTATGTAACCTGAAGCATATGTAACCCGAGGTACCACTGTACTCTAAACTAAGGTTACCAGTTTTTTCCCCCCAATGAATCCGGGGACACTTTTCAACTACCTACTAAACAGATGGATTTTGTCAGGGGCTGATTTGTAAATCCAGGGACTGTCCCCGGGAAACGGGGACGTCTGGTAACCTTACTCTCAACCAGTGTTAATGTTTGGCAACAGTTTTGCAGGAAAAGCACCTCGTTTTACAGCGCCCCACAACCTTGAATAATAGTGAGATTGGAGAAGCCAGTACAAATTGCAATTTTAAAATATATTTTTTATTGATTCTCCAGTATTTTTTATTGATTTTCCAATATGTATAAGTTGCATTTTTAGCTAAATTTGGGGGAACCACTTCAAGCATCTGTTGTACTTAGCTATTTCAATTGCTTTTGTTTGATTTGCTCATTGCAAGCAGCTGAAATTCTGTAAATCCTGATAATAAACCTGATTTGCAATGGTTTTTTTTTAATTTTGAATATTTTCAGTTGCAACTGTAGAACAGTTTAGTCTAAGAGGCTACCTATCCAACTGCAGCTACTTACAGCCAGGCATCTTGTCTCCTCAAGCGTTGATGGTCAGCTGATGCAACTGTCCGCTTTTAAGAGTTTCTGATGGGGCGTGCGTGTCATGATTGACAGCTGGCGTTCTCCAGCCAATCACAATGCAGTCTCCCATAATAGCTGGGGGAATGCCCAGGAGTCAGAGGCTGAAACACTTGTGGTGGCAAAGACAGAAGATGGGCCATCAAGGTGGAACTAGTAGCTTTTCACCTCCTCTTGGATGTGACTGTTAGTATTCCTGCTCCATGACTGCAGTCATGGGATTGTTGTCTTTCACATGACAGTGTATGTTTTGACTCCACAAAGTGGGAAGTGACAGAGAAAGGATGTTTGTGTTACCGTGTTCCGTGAAATGGGACTATTGTCCTTTGTTTTCTCTCTCTTTGCTGTCTGATGCTAGAGAGAGGGGGATTCATGTTGCAGTGTTCTGTGTGTGTTTATATGTAAATAAAGTAGATTAGCCAAAAAGCTGAGTTGCTGAGGTCTGTTACGCAAGCTGTGAAGACTCTGTGGATCCCTAAGTGTGCCGGTGTCGGTTGGCATCGGTCGCTGTGATGTTCGGGCTGAAGAAAGCTTATGAAGCTCCCGAACGATCGACCAGGAGGGAGGGAACATGCCAGTCGGGCATGTGTCTCTCCTAGGGTCCTACTCGAGTGTAGGCAGATCTCCTGACAGTGACTCCACCATCAAGACCAGATGGAGAGCAAGAGATTTTAAAGTAGTGAGAAACAAAGCCGGTGCCACATTATAAATATGGGGAAGGAATTGCAAGCCTTGAATCACAGAACAGAAATGATAGGACTGTAGAGCTGGAAGGGACCACGAGGGTTATCTAGTCCAACCCTCTGCAATGCAGAACCTGGATCTTGAACCCACAACCCTAAGATTAAGAGTCTAACTCTCTACCGACCGAGCTATCCAGAAGGTCAGAGGGAAATGTAACTGCAAAGCGTACAGACAGCAGCAATTCAGTTAGAATTAAGGAGGGCAACCTTTCAAAGCAGGAGCAATAGGTGACAATAATCAACTTACTGATAGAGCAACGACTGTAGTGGAGCAGGAAACCGTTGTCTCCATTCAGACCCAAATGAATAGAATTGAACTTCTTGATTCATTCCTGTTCAGCGGTTTCATGCTGAAGTTTCCCCTTTGCTATCCCTTCGTTCGAGGATGGTTCCAAAAAAATTCAGAGGAGGATGAACTTAAAGAGGAGCAGTGGCACAATATGGAGAAAAGGAGGTAACTATCTGATGTGTTCACTAAAGAAATCTCACAGTACAATACTATGCAGGCTCATCACATATTCTTGGGGCAAAACCCCAATTTATTTATTCAGTATACTTCTATCCTATTCTACCATAATTCAGACCCCCAAGGTGGCTAAACGTAAAACATTTTTAAATAGCTCCAAGTTAAAATAGATTAAAATGGAATGTGCGGCAAGGAAGAGCTTCCCCTTATCTCTCCTAACAATTATTACACGTCTACATTTTTAAGCAGCCAAGAACTTGCCTGCAGGGCAAACCTTTTTCGGTTTTGAATATTGCATATAGAGAGGCGCCTGGAGCCTGAGGTTTTCTATTGGCGGTAAAGAAAACTGAAGGATTATTTTGATTTGCAAGTCCTGCCCATCAAATTAAACAGGAACAAAGAGCCTGAAGAGTGAGAAAGTCTCAAACATTGCTTTCTTGTGTAGCAATTGGGGCTGTGCTTTGACGTGGATATTTCCATCCTGATTGCCTCCTCCCTGTGTTGTCCTTCCATCTGCAGGTCCTCCAGAGGCCTTAGACCTTCTTCTCCTTAACTGGGGGTTAATTGGAATCTTTTGCAAAGCCTCGAATCCTTTCTTCTGAGAGGGTAAAAGCCTGAAGAGTCCACTGTGAAGTAGGAGAACCGTCTTATTGGTGGCTAAAAAATTTTCTGTTGCAATTGCTTTGCTGAACGACACAAGTCGATGTTAATTTTTCTCTTTCCTTTCAGAGCCCTGGAAAAGAAATTAGCAGCGTATAGTTAAGCTGTGGAGCTCATTTCCACAAGAAGCAGCGATGGCCACCAACTGAGCTTTGAAAGAGGATTAGGCAAGTTTGCCGAGGATCAGGTGATCAGGTATTATAAGAATGTTAAGGTCTTAAATATAGAATAAATATTCAAAAATCCACACATATCTAAATATATGAACCACGTGTCTGAAATAGTATGAGACAGCAATCCTGAAGCCATTTTTGACTCTCCCAATGACCTCAAATATTCCTCTGCAGTACGGGAGACAAATGGGGAAAGCCTTCCCGTTGTCTTTTCACTTGCAAATCCTGCCTTAAGGGCATATTTCTGTAAGAACAGGGTGAATCTGTGAGCCTGTTAATTCAGGAACTAAAGTATTAACCATCGCAAAAGAATGGCCAGACTGCCCAGGTAATGCAATCAGTGGCCATTATCAGGTATCTTGGCAGGCAGGAATTCTGCTGTAGACCGCCTCCTTCTGTGATGTATGTATGATGTTTCGGGGGGTGGTGGTCTTGGGCTACAGGGTGGGCAATTTCAAAAGTCTATATAAGGGCTGGCACAGCATTGTGCAGGGTTCTCCTTCCTCCTGTGTGTCGTGAGTGGGGACCCTTGATGCAACAGTTCCTTTAATAAAGATCAGGCTTACTAGCCGCTTTGCTTCTCTGTATACTCTGGTTGGCTTCTGTTTTCTCCTACCGATAGGGAACCCACTTAAGGACTCTATACGGGCTCCAGAATACCCCATAAGGAAAGGGAGTAGGTTTTCTTATAATAATGGCTACCAGCCACAATGGCTATGGTCTGCCTCCATTGCTGGAGGCAGCAAGCCGTCTGAATACCAGTAGCTGAGAATCATAAATTGGGAGAATGCTGCTGTGCTCGTGTCCTGGTTGGTGGACGAGACAGGTCCTGTGTGGCTCTTCTTATGTTCTATCTTTTTCCTTATTTTTTTTTTTTTTAAGATTCAAAATCAACACTTTGCCACTCAACAGTTATAACCCTATTCTACAAGGCACCAAAGGGTTAAGCAGTTACATGGGTGACTGGGGTGGGGATGGGGGTCCTCCTGAGACAATGCTGCTGACTTTTGCTGATGCAAATAAAAGACTTGAGAAAGGAGTGGATTCAGCAGGGTTTCCAGCAGGGAGAGACTGATCATGGTTCAAAGGAGGTGAAAGGCAGAAAAGGGGAAAGGATTTGTTTATACCCCTAGGACAGCCTTTCTCAACCTTGGGTTCCCAGATGTTGTTGGACTACAACTCCCATCATCCCTGACCACTTGTCTTGCTAGCTAGGGATGATGGGAGTTGTAGTCCAACAATATCTGGGGACCCAAGGTTGAGAAAGGCCGTCCTAGGGGTATAAACAAATCCTTTGCATTTCTCTTCTGGGAGGGTGTTGCAGACAAATCGCTGAGGTGGGAGAGGGAGAGAGAGACAACCTCTCAACCGCATCACCTGAGACCTGAACCCTTGCTAACATCTTGAAGCACCTCCTGGGCAAAAAATTAGGTGTGAGATTCTGCCTCCTTTTCTGTCCTCATCCTGGCAGAACCGCCCATTTCCTACCTCAATTCCGAGTCGCTCAGGGCAGGATAGTAGTAATAATAATAATTTATTATTATTTATACCCTGCCCATCTGGCTGGGTTTCCCTAGCCACTTTGGGCAGCTCCCAACAGAATATTAACACAATAAAATTAAAAATATGATAAAACATCAACCATTAAAAACCTCCCTAAACAGGTCTGCCTTCAGATGTCTTCTAAAAACCAGATAGTTGTTTATTTCCTTGACATCTGATGGGAGGGTGTTCCACAGGTAGACTGTAGTTTGGTGACCCAGTCAGGATGCCTGTCAGACGCCACCCAGACACCAACCTGCTATGCTTTTGCAGGCTTGAACACAGGGCGATTGGCTCATATGGCTCGCTGTTGTTTAGACACTGGCTGGCAGCATCTCTCCAGGGTTCTTCAGGCAGGGGATATTCTCAGTGCTTCCTGGAGATGCTGGGGGTTGAAGCTGTGACCTTCTGCATGCATAGCAGCTGCTCACCACAAAGCTACGATTCTCTTCCCGCTCTCCCCATTGCTGTGTCATGTATCTCCTTGTCCCTTTCTTCCAAGTCATGTGTAGATCAGGCCTCAAACTACCATCGGTGAATAATATGCTCTGGTATTAGGAGAAAGCCTGAGATGGGGAAAGTCGTCGGCATCCGTCTGTCTCGAGAGACAATGGAGAGCACCTCCGGGGGTGAAGTCAAACTGCTGTGTTAGCGGCATTGGAGTGACCTCTCCGGGGTGCAAGGAGGCCCTGGGCTGCCCAGACAACAAGACCTCCCTCTTTAGCCTTGCTGACGTGCTCCAAAGGAAAGCAGACATAAAAAAGGTAAAGGACCCCTGGATTGTTAAGTCCAGTCAAAGGTGACTATGGGGCTGCAGGCCGAGGGAGCCTGCGGTTGTCCACAGTTTTCTTAATTTGAGTTTTCTTAATTTCTTAATTCTTAATTTGATTCTGAATTGATTTTAGAATGAATTGATTTTAGAATGTATTTCAGTTAATTGACTGTGATTTTATGTAAACTGTACTATTTTTACTGTTGTTAGCCGCTCTGAGCCCAGCTTTGGCTGGGGAGGGTGGGATATAAATAAAAAATGATGATGATGATGATGATGATGGGTCATGTGGCCAGCAGGACTAAACCGCCTCTGGCGCAACGGAACACTGTGACAGAAGCCAGAGCGCACGGAAATGCTGTTTACCTTCCCACCGCAGCGGTACCTATTTATCTACTTGCACTGGTGTGCTTTCAAACTGCTAGGTTGGCAGGAACTGGAACAGACCAATTGGAGCTCATCCCGTCTTGGGGATTCGAACAGCTGACCTTTGGATTGGCAAGCCCAAGAGGCTCAGTGCTTTAGACCACAGCGCCACAGAGCAATACATTTGGCACCAGCTTGGCTGCAGAAGTTGCTTGATGGAGACGCACAAGGCAACATCCAACCATAACAGAGACTCCACTCCAGATTTTTGTAGGGTTTATTCCTCAGCCTTTTCTTATCCCAAAGTTTTCCCATGAGGTGAGGGAAATGTTGCTGAGCAATAGTTGGGACCACCACTAGATGTCACCAATTCCTTGTTTTACATCAAAAAATGTAGCGCTTGGAAGCGGAAATTTGCAAACCATTAACATATTGATTTCCAGAGAAATGACTCTGTTGTATATTCTGATGTCACAGTCTGCCTAGAAGCCTTCTTAGGATTAAGGCCTGTTCACACATATGCTCATACAACCTGGGCATCTCATCTGCTTGAGGACACTTGGTTTAATGTGTGAACTTTCCTAATGTTTCCTAACTATGGTGTTTTGCACCAGTTAATAATCCTCAACTGCCCCAGGGTCCACTGGGTACAGGTGGGTTCCATCTAACCTGCATATCTGAAATGACACAGGAACCAACTAAGACACATAAAATATCTACCAATGCAAGTGCCGCCACTTGGAGCACTTAATAAAAGTTCCCTGCCAGGGAGTGTAGGTCTGTGGTGCAACCCTGTCTCACATTTCTGAACATGTCAATATTCCTCCAGGGTACATATATGAGAATGGCTGGGTCAGGAAAGCACCTCGAAAATGGGGTGTGGTGGAATTTGCTTCAGACCCCAACCTGAAATAATAATGCAATAACAACAATAACAATAATTTTATTGTTTATATGCCACGCATCTGACTGGCCCTTTCCAATTTGCACTTTTCTGAATTATTTGAATTCTGTGGTGCAGTCATCCAACCAAAAAGAATGCACAATAATGTGTATTAAGAGAAGTGTGCATTTTTTTAAAAAATCTGTATTTTCACAAATGCATAGATTTTATTAACTTTCCATTCATATAAACATCCTTGTACACATTTATGTATAAAAGCATTCTACAGTGGTGCCCCGCAAGACGAATGCCTCGCAAGACGGAAAACCCGCTAGACGAAAGGGTTTTCCGTTTTCAATGTGCTTCGCAGGACGAATTTCCCTATGGGCTTGCTTCGCAAGACGAAAATGTCTTGCGAGTCTTGAGATTTTTTTTCCACTTCCCCCCCCTTTTTCTAAGCCGCTAAGCCTTTAATAGCCTTTTAGCAGCTAATCCGCTAATCCGCTAAGCCTTTAATAGCCGCTAAACCGCTAATAGCGCTAAGCCGCTAAGCCGCTAATAGGGTTGCTTCGCAAGACGAAAAAACCGCTAGATGAAGATACTCGCGGAACGGATTAATTTCGTCTTGCGAGGCACCACTGTATATTGGGGAAATTGCTGGGTGTGTGTGTATACATTAGGACATGGGTGCACCAGAATGCTGATGACTTTTCACGAGGACGTGATATAGAACTTTGCAAAATGGTGCAGAAAAGTGACAAAGCTGTGGGCTGGTAGTGCGTTCTTATTCTGCCTGGGGAAAGAGCTCTATGGTGCTCAAAAGCTTGCACATTCTTCAGCGTGAGGCTGCTCTGACAGTGCCTAGCTCTGCTTTTTGCTCTACTCAGCAGTACTAACACGAAGGCCGGCTTTCAAATGAATTTCAGGAAGGATGTGTCTCTTCCTTAGAATGAACGTCAGGAAATGGGAGTAGCCGTCAGGAAATTAGCTAAAGGCTAATGCAAATAGAGACATGGCGGGGCGATTTCTTAACAGGCGCTAGCTAAATGCAGTCACTTCTTCCTCTTGGGTTTGAACACGACATGCTTATATTATGAACGGCGGCTCTAAATTAAAAGGAAGGCAGCCTAACGTAGATCTCTATCAAACAAATGTTTTGATAAGACCGGACGACTAGGTGGCACGTTGTCCGGGTGTGCTGGTCCCGGGGGGAGGTTACCGTGAGGCGTGGTCAGAGTCCGGTCCTGGGTCGAGGGTCTGGAGACTGTCCACCAAGGGCGAAGCGGGGTCCAAAGCGAGGAGCCGGGCAAGGTCGGGAACTCTGGAAGAACAGGTCTGGGTGCTGGCAGAAACAGGTTTCCAACGACGTTGCTCCCGCAACCTGGGACCGGGCTGACTGGCCTTTATCTCCTCTGAGGCCAGGGGCGGTCCCGGCCCATAGATGACCCGCCTCTCCTGGCCTTAAGGGGACTCCTGTGCAGGCTGGGATTCCTCCGGTTCAGCCTCCTGAGAGAACCCAGTTCCTTCCACCTCTCTGCCCTGAGCCTCTGCAGCTCAGGAGAGGCTGGAGGGTTACTGGACCCAGGGGGAGGCTCACCTTCCCCTGACAGGGCTAGGAGAGGCGCACCTGTAGGCAATGGGTCCTCAATCACCTCCGGAGCCAGAGTGGATTCATCTGGTGTCTGCTCCTGAGGATCTGGCACAGGTGCAGGCGCTTCAGACTCAAGGCCCTGCCCTGGCTCAGCCGGCCCTGGAGGCGGGGACTCCTGTGCAGGCTGGGATTCCTCCAGTTCAGCCTCTGAATCAGATTCCCAGGCCATCACACCGGGGAACAAATGCAGAACTTGTAACCTGTTGCTGGCACCCGTCGGTCTTGAGAGACAATGGAGTGCGCTGCCAGGGGTGAAGTCAAACATCAGCAGCACCAAAGTGACCTCTCTGGGGTGCAAGCCTGGGCAGTGTGTGTGGAGGTCCTGGGCTGCCCACGTGACAAGATGACCACCCCCCTCTTGGCCTCGCTGAGGTGGTCCAAAGGAAAGCAGAGCAAGACGTTGGGCACCAGCTTGGGCACAGGAGTTGCCAGAAGGAGGAAGACAAGGCGCCATCCAACTGTCTTAGGGACTCCACTCTGGATTTGCGTAGTGTTTACTCCTGTGCCTTTTCTTCGCCTGAAGATGTCCTGCAAGGCGGAATTTTAGGATCAGTGTTTTCCTTCTCCTAAATGGGTTAGCCTCCCAGGTCAATGAGCCTCATCTGCCCCTCACTTCCCGCCACGTTCTTGACCATTGAAAGCCAGTGTGGTGTAGTGGTTAAGAGTGGTGGACTCATAATCTGGTGAACCGGGTTCGCTTCCCCGCTCCTCCACATGCAGCTGCTGGGTGACCTTGGGCCAGTCACACTTCTCTGAAGTCTCTCAGCCCCACTCACCTCACAGAGTGTTTGTTGTGGGGAAGGAAGGGGAAGGAGATTGTTAGCCACTTTGAGACTCCTTAGTAAAGGTAAAGGGACCCCTGACCATTAGGTCCAGTAGTGGCCGACTCTGGGGTTGCGGCATTCATCTCGCTTTATTGGCCGAGGGAGCCGGCGTACAGCTTCCACGTCATGTGGCCAACATGACCTAGCTGCTTCTGGCGAACCAGAGCAGCGCACAGAAACGCCGTTTACCTTCCCGCCGGAGCGGTACCTATTTATCTACTTGCACTTTGACGTGCTTTTGAACTGCTAGGTTGGCAGGAGCAGGGACCAAGCAATGGGATCTCACCCCGTCGTGGGGATTCGAACTGCCAACCTTCTGATCAGCAAGTCCTAGGCTCTGTGGTTTAACCCGCAGCGCCACCTGCATCTCCTAAGGAGTTGAGTCTCCTTAGGGTAGTGATAAAGCGGGATATCAAATCCAAGCTCCTCTTCTTCTTCATTGGACCCACTGCAACAGCTGGACTATGTACTGAAGGTCATCTTTGTCTCACCACACCTTCCCTGGAGGTCTTCAAATATGTTGCAGAACCATCTGCTGAGGATGGTTTTCTAGCATTGAGTGGGGGCTGGAGCAGAAGACCTCAAGACACGACCCCCCTGCGGCTCTTTTAAAGGGTCTGAACACTCAAATCCTCACCTCACCCTCACTCAGCGTTCATTGTGAAGGGAAAAGAACCTGCCACCACTTCGTCATATTAATAAAAACATTTTCTTTTTATTTTGATACAAAAATTAAATAGCAAAGTTTGGGGTCTTTTGTACAATGATAAATTAGAAATTTACAATAGACGTAGTTAACTCTTCTGTACAATCACCAACCAAGAAAAAATATATATCAGTGTCCATTTACCTTAAAAAGTTTCAGGGATAAGCAATTATCATCCTGAAGGTGAGTAACATAAAACATGTACCTGTGTGCCAAAGAGCTTAAGAAACCTGGTTGTTTTAGGACAATTACTTTTAATGGGAGCAAGGAAAGGGCAAAAAGGAGGGAGAAACTGCTCCAGAACAGAAGAGAACTTTATTAAAGGGAAAAGTAAGATTGGAAGTAAAGGTGCTTAAATCTTGGAAACATCGTATTTTTGTTGTTAGAAGAACAAATAGCAATGAATGGGGGGGGGGGATTAATGAATGAATACATAAAAATGAAAGCCACAACCCAAAAGTCTAATCATTCAGCTCTACTCCAGACCTGCAGAGAAAAGAGGTGTGAGGAATTTTGAGATGAGCAAAAAACGGTTGTACCATTTCAGAGCACAGGCAGGGGTTCGGTTGTTGTTTTTTTAAATGTCCTTTTATGACACGAGAGATGGAACCTTTTTTCACTCAAGGGCCACAATCCCTTCTGGACAACCTCCTGGGGGCCGCCTGCCAGGAGTGGGAGGAGGACAGAGCAATAGATGTGGATTTTGTGCAGCGGGCAAGCTTCCTTGCGCTCGCATGCCCCTCTCTAGCTAGGAAACCGAGAAGAATGATCCAAAACACATTCGAGCCATGAGAAAACACGAGAGGAGGGTGCAAAAGCAGGTCTGGCAAAGGGTGTCTTGGCCTGGGGAGAGCAAATTTGAACCCTAGACCCCTCCCTCTATGCAGAAGCTAGCTAGCAACAGAAAGCCAGAACAGGAAGGAATGAGCTGTGCTCAACTCATCCTCTGATATGCCTTTAAAAAAACAAAAACCTGCAGGGAGCAAAAGGGGGGGAGAGGACATTCAGCACTGGTGGGCTCACACCTGCAGCCTGAAATGCTATAGTCCTCTCTCGCCAATTCAGGGTTCCTTTATTCTGAAGTCATGGACAGATCAGGGTCCAAGAGACAAATGGCCATTTCTACATTCGCAAGAGATGCAGCCACAGGGTCCTTAGAATTCATTTATTTATTAAGGATGCAAGATTTGGAAGGGGTTCTGGGGCAGAGCCCCTGTGATCACACCAAACTGCATTTCCATGAACGGAGACATTGAGAGAGGGCCATCCCCCGGGAAGCAGTAGCTACATCTGCGCACCGAATACGTGGCAGCGATATCTCCTTCCTGGGCCCACACACAACAGTTGGGATGTGGGATATAGGCATGATACTGTTTGTGTGAAGGGTCATCAAACCCCCCACACCTGCCATGTACAGTGGTACCTCGGGTTACATATGCTTCAGGTTACATACGCTTCAGGTTACATACGCTTCAGGTTACAGACTCCGCTAACCCAGAAATAGTGCTTCAGGTTAAAAACTTTGCTTCAGGATGAGAACAGAAATCGTGCTCCGGCGGCACGGCAGAAGCAGGAGGCCCCATTAGCTAAAGTGGTGCTTCATGTTGAGAACAGTTTCAGGTTAAGAATGGACCTCAGGAACGAATTAAGTAACCCGAGGTACCACTGTAATGGTTTTTGGTGGCGCTGAAGGTGGCCCAGGCCACATGACCCCCAAAGCCAACAGCAGAGAGGGAGATCGCCTAGTAATAGCACATGGGGAAGAAGAAACAATGGAGGAACACAGCTGTCAGGCAGAGACTCTATAGCTGGGACCATGTATTTATGCTCCAGTTCTCAGGTACAATTTCCCCTCACCTGGCTGGATTCACTGGCATTAAGATTATAAAACAGGAAACCTAAATATTTAAAAAGGCAGACCAATAGCAAGTGGGAATTATCATTGATGGTCACTTGCCAGGATATTCTTTATTCATTATACACATTTTTGAGAATCATAAATTGTAGTGCTGGGAGGGACCCATAGGGTCATCTATTCCAACCCCCTGTAATGCTCAACGTTGGGTTTGAACCCATGACGCTGATATTAAGAGTCTGCTCTACTGACTGAGTTAGTTCAGCTGACTCACAAGTGGGGAGAGCGCTGTTGTGCTCAGGTTCTGCTTGCGAGTTTACTGAGGGGTCTTCTAAATGCTTTGGAAACCTGTGCTAGGTGGAGCTGATGGGGGTTGTGGACCCCTCAGTTTGGAGAAAGCATGTTAGGAGCAAATGGGTTTGCACCGTGTTATTATGGCAAGGTTCCCTGAGCTTCGGAGGAACTCTACTTTGGCTGCATTCATACGGCGGCCTAGCCCAGCATCACATTTCCCTAACTTTAAATTTCCACATTATTTTTCAGCTGTCAAATGACACAAAAGCAAGCCACTTCTTGGAATATAGTGGTGCAAGTTGTGCACTAAGCATCCATATTACAGTGGTACCTCGGTTTAAGAACGGCCCTGTTTACGAACTATTCGGTTTACGAACTCCGGAAAACCGGAAGTAGTGTTCTGGTTTGTGAACTTTACCTCAGTCTAAGAACGGAATCTGAACGGTGGAAGGGCACCGGTGGCAGGAGGCCTCATTAGGGAAAGTGCACCTCAATTTAAGAACGGTTTAGTCTTCAGTTTAAGAATGGACTTCCGGAACGGGTTAAGTTTGTAAACCGAGGTACCACTGTACAGTGGTACCTCTGGATACGAACGGGATCCATTCTGGAGCCCCGTTCATATCTAGAAGCAAACATAACTAGCGACGGTACATCTGCGCACGCACACGTCACTTTTTGCTGATTCTGTGCATGCACGTGACGTCACTTTGAGCGTCTGCACATGCGCAAGCGGCGAAACCCGGAAGTAACACCCTTCATTACTTCCGGGTTGCTGCGGAGTGCAACTCGAAAGCGCTCAACCCGAAGCGCATTCAACCCGAGGTATGACTGTATTTGCAAACAGGTTTATTTTTCTGGAAGCAAATATCACAGACACAATGTTGCACGATAGTTCCAGAAGTGACTTTTAAAGTTTTGCAAAAGCTCAAATAGAATGCAGAGCTTAGGAGTTAGAGGGAAGTTGTGGAAAAGGAATAAACTGCCTTGTGAATGCAGCCGGTGTCTAAAGCAGTGGCGGTAGAAAATCACTGTTCATCCTGGGGAGAAACTAGCGTTTGAGCATCGGGCCAATTCCCTACACTGTGCTATCACTGGCAACATGGGAACCGGTGGGTGGGCTTGAAATAACCTCTGGAGCAGTAGCTCGGACGTAGCCACTGAAGTGGGTGAAAAGGGAGAAAGGAAACAACAGCAGAACTCTCGAGCGCCAACAGGTTTGAGCAGGTGCTTTTTTTAAAAGGCACCCAGCAGAAACAATCTGTCATATGCATTGATCGAGGCAGCTTGAAAGAGGCACTTGAATGATCTTTGGAAAGGTAAAGTAAAGGGACCCCTGACCATTAGGTCCAGTTGTGGGCGACTTGGGTGCGGCGCTCATCTCGCTTTACTGGCCGAGGGAGCCGGCGTACAGCTTCCTGGTCATGTGGCCAGCATGACGAAGCCGCTTCTGGCAAACCAGAGCAATGCACAGAAATGCTGTTTACCTTCCCGCTGGAGTGGTACCTATTTATCTACTTGCACTTTGACGTGCTTTTGAACTGCTAGGTTGGCAGGAGCAGGGACCGAGCAATGGGAGCTCACCCCGTCGTGGGGATTCGAACCGCCTACCTTCTGATCGGCAAGTCATAGGCTCTGTAGTTTAGACCACAGCGCCACCCGTGTCCCTCTTTGGAAAGGGAGAGGGGAAAATATTACTGCAACTCCTTCTATCACCAGCCAACTGGACCGGAAAGATTTTCTTTTCTTTTTTTAAAAGGAGCCTAGGGAGAGCAGCAGGAGACATGTGCAGCTCTCCACGCTCCCAGCTCTGTGCTTGCGGTGCCAACCCAAAAGTACCAGCCGGGGAGGGAGGGATATTATTTTAGCACTTGGTTTGCACATGTGCCTATACAGTGGCACCTCCTTCTCCTACAAAGAAACGATGGCCCTCTGCTTGTTGTTGGGACTCGACTCCCATCTTCCCCTGCCAACAGGGCCAAGGTCAGGAACGATGGGAGTTGGGATTCAGCAATATCTGGAGGGGCCGCAGCTTCCCCCTCCCGGCTGCTCTCCATGGTATGCGCCACCCATGCTCAACATTTGCACATTGGAGAAAGGACTGTGCATGCACAGGGAAGGGACGCAAGAAGAAAACTCTTGAATTCAAGGCCCACACAAGGAAGGCAAGCCGTGCTGTGAACGCAATTGCCCGCCAGGCAATCGGGCAACCATTAACATTCTGTTCTCTGACAAACATCTGAGCAGCTTCTGCCAACTGCCTACAGGCTAAAGTCAAGTTTACAGTCATCAAACTCCCACCAGCTAAATATTGCTTCACTGAACTTGGCTGCCTAGCTTTAAGATGGCATTACTCACTAAGCAATAGCCAGGTTTATTCTCTTGGGGTCATGTAACAGGGCAGGTGGGGTGAGGGGGCAGCTTACCCTTTTAGCTAAAGACAAGAAAAGAAAAGAAAAGCATGCACTCACATTCTTCTCAGACTGATAAAGACACGCACGCACAAACAGCGCTTTCATTTTGGTTCAGAGTGAGTCAGCTGTACCCCCTGGTCTCATGGCTGGAGAATGTCTTTTTAATTGTAATTGACACACAAATTATGCAACTGATCTGTGCACAGGCAAAGCTGCCAAGGAACTTAACATTTCGGTTTGCCCAGACCGGCGTCGACACAGATGCAATCACACAGAGTGAAATATATTAAGCCTTAATTGCTTAATGCAATGGGTCTCCGGGGAAGGACTGATAGGTTTACTTGGAGGGCCTGGGGCGGCGGTGGCCGGTGGGGGGGGGGGAGAATGAGTGGGGTTTGGCGAGGCAAGGGGAGGAGAGAAAAAGAAACCAAAACAAAACAGTCTCTGAATAAGCCAATTGTCAGAAATGACCCTCCACTCACTTTTCCTTATTAACCCACATGCTCTAGACGGAAAGACGACTATAAAAATAAAGGAGCACTTTTTCTTATTGAGACTGGAGAGTGTGTGACACTGGGAACAGCAGAGTCATGTATCAGTGCTGGGGGAAGACTGAAAGAGATTCGGGGAAAAGGAGAGGGAGAAGAGAGATGGGAATCTAGCTGCAAGCTAAGGTTAGGCTCTCAGTTTCCAACTTTTTTGTCTCTCCCAATAAGCACAGCCAAGCAGGCAACTCTCTTGCACAAAGCCTCGCTGAAACAAGAACCGTGCAAGAGGACACGGTGAATTTCCCAAAGGACGGCGCCATCCAAATCCCATTAAACCCAACAGCTTGCATGAATGGATCTTATCAAATGGACTTATCAAAAGCTGACCTGAGCATTGAGAGCAACCACACGCTCTCGCCCTCTATCGAGGTTGTAACCTCTTCAGACAACAGGTGGGAGTTGCATGTCGGATGCTCTCTAAATCCTGGCCTTTAAAGAAAGAAAGAAAACTAGCCCATCAAGGTGACAGATTCGGGCCGAGCACTCTCCCTGAGGTGCTAGCTTTCTACATGCAAGAAGATTTGGGGGGTGTCGTAAATGATCATGGGTATTTAGACAGCTAGTCTCACAACTGCAGCTAGAAATGTTACAGTCCAACCAAGGCTGCTCCGTACAATTACTCTGAACATGGTAGATCAGTTCCTGGGAAAATTAGCAGCACAGGTGCGAGTGTGGCCCTTGTCTGGAGGCAGCCCAGAGCCTTTGCAGCCTGAGCCACAGAGCTCTACCAGTTCAGCCTGTCTGTGAATGCTTCTCAAAGTAAAGCCAGGGGTTTCTTATAGCACAGGAAGAAGGGGGTCGTGGACATGTCTGAATTTTAGCAAGCCAGTAGCTTTATAGCTGTGGACCGGGCAGCAGTGGCATAGGAAGGGGGGGCGCAAATGGCAGAGGCACCCTCCTGGCTGTGATGTCGCTGCGGCAGGGACAGGCAGCTGTATGGCTGGAGGGCGACATCCCCCATACACCAGCAGGACCCCAACGCTGCCAACCCATCACTCACCACCCTTATCCTGTCTATTTCTTGTAAGCAGCAGCGCCTTCGCAGCCGGGAGAGTGCCACTGCTGAGACCACAGGGCAGCAAGTTTCAAGGATCTCCTTTGGTTTTGCTTTTTAACTTAAGATCCTGATGTTCAGCACCTGGAGCTTGTGCAGAACACCTAATACTGGGAAAGAACGAAAGAAATCTGAGCCCAGAAATGTGCTTCCAAGTCCCAGAACTGGATAGATCTTACAGGCCTTCCACACAGACACACACACCCCTGGGTTACCCCAAGCTTCCTTCATTTCAGCAGTATAATTCAGAGAGGGTCACTGTGTTGCTGCTATGGTTGAACATCTAAGAGTCAGGCGTCCTTGCAGACCAACAGCAAACATCTCAGAAATCTACCAGTAAGCTACCTTCTGCCTACTCATGGTTTGGATTGACCTCGGACAACCTTGTGGACTCCAGAGGTTGTTGGGACTACAACTCCCATCAGCATGGGGTGCGGGCAGGGGCTGATGTAGCCCAGCAATAGCTGAAGGCCGCCAGGTTGTCCTAGGCTGGCATAGACTATAGGGACTGTGCTTGGCTTCCGATTATCTGACAGCCCTAGTGGCATGCAGACATCAGGGCAGGCGCTGGAAGACGAACGTTCACCTTCCAACCCTCCATGGCGGCAGACCTTTGCGCAGCAGGATCTCAAGTCCCTGGAAGCCAGCAGCCCTGAAGAAGAGTTCCCTAGAACAACAGCAGCAGAGATCCCCTTTCTAAATTCTTTCCTGCACAAGACACGGAGCTAAAAATACAACTCAGGGCAGGGTGAGGAGGAATAAAGAGAAGGCACATGATGCGTCACTAGGAGGTGCTAAGTCCCAAGACTCCTCAAGGCACAAGGAGGCCGCATTTCAACCGGTTCCCATTTTTTGTCTTCACAGCTTCTGAAAGCCTCTGCAGGCTCCCTTTGTTGCTGTTTTTTTGCGGGAGCAAAGCCCTGCTGTTCACAGCACACACACACAAACAAGTCCTTGCAGTTTATTCGGGCCTTCTCTGCGCGCCCTTTCCCCACCACCTCCCAAAAAGCACAGCTTCTTTCCGTGGCACGCAAACCACTGCGACGTTCCTGCCGCAGTTGCTCGCGTGAACCTGGCTCTTCCCACAGGCGGAGAGAGAGCGCACCCGGCAGGTCTGCCCGCCGTGCGTTGGTCCACTTTATACAACAGTCTCGTTCCCTTTCCCAGGCTTCACCCAGCCGTCGGCCCTCTTCTCCCCCCGTTTCACCCTGCCAGAGTTCACCAGCCGGTTCGAGCACTTCTGCCAGGTGTGTAGCGTTTTGGCAGACCAAATCCACATGCCGGAGGTGATGCCCACCAGCAAGGACATGAAGATCTTCAGCATCTCCACCGCCATGTTGGAGTCGTCCGCCGAGTAGCGGAAGATAGTCCAATTGGAGATTTCGTAGAAGTAGCAGGCGATGACGCAGGTGGCCGGGACGGTGTAGAGCACCGAAAAGACCCCGATTTTCACCATCAGCCTCTCCAGCTTGTCGGTTTTCGTCCCGTCCTTCTGAAGGTTGGACCTGATTTTAAACAGAGCCACCAGGCCGGCCGCAATGAACAGGGTCCCGATCACCAAATAGGTGAAAAGAGGAGCCACCACGAAACCCGTCAGTGCGTCCAGGTTCTGGTTCCCCACGTAGCACAGCCCGGTCAGCTCGTCCACGTCCACCAGCCTCATGATCAGGATGACGATGGTCTTGACGGCGGGGATGGCCCAGGCCGCGATGTGGAAATAGGAGCTGTGCATTTCGATGGCCTCGTGGCCCCACTTGAGCCCTGCGGCCAGGAACCAGGTCAGGGTCAGGATCACCCACCAGATGGAGCTGGCCATCCCGAAAAAGTACATCAGCAGGAAAATGATAGCACATCCTGTGTTCTTGAGGCCTTCTTGGACGAGGACAGGTTCTGCCGCCTCCTCAAAGTCGCAGGAAATCCTCTCCCGGCCCACGATCAGCCGGACGATATAGGCGATGCTATAAATATTGTAGCACATGCTCAGGAAGATGATGGGGCGTTCGGGGTAGGAAAACCGATAGGAATCAACCAGAAAGGTCAGGACCGTGAAGGCTGTGGAAATGAAGCACAGGCTAGCCCACACAGCCATCCAGATGTCTGTAAACTCCTTGGCCGAGCGGCTGTAGAGGCCGGCGTCGTAACCACACTTAAGGGCGCAGTTCAGGCTCCTCTTGACCCAGATGTATTGGTCCGGGTTGGATCCCACTGAGTGGCATTCCTCTCCAGGGTTCAAGGGCGACTTGCTGTGAAGAGGCACCTCTTCGTCCCCCGGGCCCTCCATGCACATGTGGTTGTCGCCATTTTGCGGCGGGAACTTGCTGCAGTTCAGGGTTTCCGGCCAGGAGAAGCCGAATTCCTTCAGGACCGGCTCACAGCGCCTCTTGACGGAGAGGCACATGCCGCTGCAGGGGCCGATCGGGGTGTCGATCTTCTCCGTGCACAAGGGGACATAGACGGAGCAAAGGAAGAACTGGAAGAAAGAGAGAGGGGGGAGGAAAGAAAGGACAAGACAACTTTTAGGAGGCTGTAGGTAGGCACCAGCACGCTCTCCCCACCCCAAACCACTGAGGGAAAATAAACTTGGGAATCGCTTTTTAATACAGAACATAAACCTGAAAGTGTTCAGTTGCAAAAGCTTCAGTCTGCATTTTGCTCACACTTTAAGATTTGGCCAAGGTCACACCAAGGATCAGCACAGAGCTATATTTCACAAAATGCATACAGAAAAAGCACATCATTCATTCTTGAAGGCCATGGGCCAAACCAGATGGGACTTTTATAGGATTGCCATACGTCCAGAATTTCCCAGACATATCTGGAATGCTGTGGTGATAAGCAGTGTCCAGGTGGAAATTGGCAGGAGCATCCAGGAAAATCCGGACGTATGGCAAGCCATGCCAGCAATGTCATTTCCCCCCGATTTCCCTTAAAAATAGGCAATTTTATTTTGTGTCAGGATTTTCACTTATTAAAATAAGGCAAACCCTAACTTTTATCATGTGGTTTGATGCTGCATAGTCGCTTGTTTAAGAAATAGGTGGCTCCAGGGGGGGATGTCCCAGGCTGGGCCTGCAGGAAGGGAGAGTTTCAATCCCTTTGCCACTGTCCCAGTCAGGACTCACCCGGCCTTCCGACTATTTGTGATGGTCCCTTTCCTCCTTCCATGGCAGATTGCAGGATCAGGGAGGGGAGTCTGGTTAAGACTGTAGACCCCCACCACACGACAGTCCTGACTGGGCTATACTGCTGCTAAACAACGAAACGAAAAGCTCTGCAACACCAAATTGTGTGACAAGGCACATTTAGTTTGGTCCAGAACACAAGAATTTTTAAGGAGTACAGTGGTACCTCGGGTTACAGACACTTCAGGTTACAGACACTTCAGGTTACAGACTCCACTAACCCAGAAATAGTACCTCAGGTTAAGAACTTTACCTCTGGATGAGAACAGAAATTGTGCGGCGGCCGCACGGCAGCAGCAGGACGCCCCATTAGCTAAAATGGTACCTCAGGTTAAGAACAGTTTCAGGTTAAGAAGAGACCTCCAGAATGAATTAAGTTCTTAACTCGAGGTACCACTGTACAGTGGTACCTCAGTTTACGAACTTAACCTGTTCCGGAAGTCCGTTCTTAAACCAAAATGGTTCTTAAACCGAGGCACGCTTTCCCTAGTGAGGCTTCCCACCGCCAGTGCCTTTCCACCATTCAGATTCCATTCTCAGACTGAGGTAAAAGTCCTCAAACCGGGACACTACTTCCAATTTTGTGGCGTTCGTAAACCGAATTGTTCATAAACAGCGCTGTTCTGAAACCGACGCACCACTGTATAAACTCAAACTAGAAAATATGCTACAGAGGGTAAATTTCATGGGAAAGGGCAATGATATATCTCCCCCCTCCCAGACTACAATTCCATCCAGAGCATCTCCTCCTTCAATTCTATAAAGACTTGGCTATCATGCCTGACCCATGCAACAGAATCAAACAGAATATTCTTGCCTTGTAGAGGGTTGGACTAGATGACCCCTGGTGTCCCTTTCCAATTGTACAATTCATGATTCTAAGCCACACTATTATTGCTTCCGGGGATTATTTAATGCAAGTGTAAGAACCCAAGTTTTGAGTTCTGCCCTCAGATACAGATTTTAAAACTCTGCATTTATGAAGTGAGCATGGGCAGGATAACTTCCAAGTTTCGACAGATTTTCTCCCTTTTTTAGGGTTCTGAAAGTTTTGGTAGTGCTGGGAATAAGTCTAGCAAAGTGCTTTATAGTCTCATTACTCCCATTTTTCAGACAAGGGCTCAGTGACATGTCCAAGACCTATGCTCTTTAAATTAAACCTGTCTCTTTAAACTCTGAAAGAGCTTTATTTCCCAAACATGCAAGAGAATACCAGGCTTCCCATTAAGAAACAGTTTTAAAGAAGGAAGGAAAATTAAGCTTGTAAACAACCACTTTAGCTGCCAGCAGTAAGTACAGAATCCCTCTCAATGACCATCTGAGATGGCTATCTGTCAAGGATGCTTTAGCTGAAATTCCTGCATTGCGGGGGGTTGGACTAGATGACCCCTGGGGTCCCTTTCCAACGCTAAGATTCTATGATCCTATGACCAGGCAGGAATGCTTTAAAACATCACAATAATCTTAGGCCGCAGTTACTAATGTGGGCTAATAAAAATATCTGTGGGCTAGTAACTTGTCTGAGCTTATTTGCAAGGCTGTTTTAACTGCATGAAAAAAACGAGCATTTCATTTGCCATCGCATGCGCTTGGAAGCTGCACAGTTGCCCATTTCTTTAGTACATTCCATTTAGAAGTCAACTCAAAGATTCTCTCTCCAGTGGTGTGAAAATAGCTGGAATACTCCAGGCATAGCTGCTCCTCGTTTTGTTTATTAACTCCAATTCAGAGTGCACTCTCTCCTGTGTGAGCCGCAGTCCAAATTCCTGAGCTGCCAGAGGGTACATACATTCAGGCAGGGATAACCTGCCAATCAGAAGGGGGGGGGACCATTTCAGCTCCATCGTTTCTTAAGCCAACTGCTTTCCGACTTCACGGGTAAATTAACCTCAAGAGAGGGAGGGGGGAGAACGCGGGAAGCGAAAGAGAACTGGAGAGATCTTTTGAATATTCTGTTTCACCCTGGCAGCCCCTCCTGGATTTAGATGTTATTGTAAGTGGGTTTCTTATCTGCAGATTCACACCCAGTGGAAATGTTTGCACCAAAAGTTCCTTCTCGCATGTCTGCATAAGCCTTCCTGTTTCCTTCCAGGCCCAGAAGAGTGTGGTTTAGTTGCATATTTTATAACTCACTTGTTTGATTGTTTTTATTCTTACGTTGCAAGCTGCTCTGCGTACAATAGAAGGGAAATGGCATAAGCAGCTTTGACATTTCGTCTCAGACTATCGTAGTTCCAGGAAGAAGCAGGTCCAAAATCCCTGCTGCTGTTATGAAGCTCACTAGATGCCCCTGGGTCAGCCTAACCAACCTCGCAGGGTTGTTGTAAAATTTGGTGGGAGCTGGGAGAGAACTACTACATATGCAGCCTTGGACTCCATGGAGGAAAAGCAGGAAATGCACAGGGATTTCTGGAACTGTGGCTTTGCACTCCAGAGTTGCAAGTTAGATATTAACTGCCCACGGGCAAGTTGGAAAATAAAGGAGCAAACAACCTTCCTCACTGCAACTGAACAGAGAATTACCAAAACAAAACTGCAAATGACGGGGGCAGGGCTGAATCCTGGTTGGCTTAAATGCACCTGCCACCCTCCTCACCTTGGATGGCAAGAATTTGCAACCCATCTTCAGAAAGCTGTGAAGATGTCTCAATGTGTGGCGTTCCTAATTTGAACTCTTCTCTCTCCCTCCCTCTTCCACCCACCCACCAGTGGGGGTAAATATCCAATTGCACCTGCTGCTTTGAGATACTTGGCAAAGGTTGTTTTTGTGTGTGTGTTTTTCCTCTCTTCTAAATGTCAGCTACTATCTGCCCTCTGGGCTCTTTGCGCCAGGTTGTGCCAAAGCATAGCAAAGCGGGCGTTGGACTGATTGTGAGCCGTGGCAATTCACTGAAAAGAACTGAAGGTCTACCGCAGACCTGCTGCGGCTCCCCAGCAAATGCAAGATTCTGGGAAGCCCCCTGCGGAAGCATCGCTTTCTAAAGACTCTCCTGCAATCAGAGGGTGTGTCTGTGTGGCTCAGGTCAGCTCTACAAAGGAGGGAGATGGTCTATATCTGGTGCAAAGTTCCACAAAGCAGCTCAAGGAGAAGGAGACACGTTTCCCTGGGGCTGTGCAGAAGTCTAGCGTGTCCGTCCTTGTGCAATTGGGGGTGTATGTATCTGAGTTTCAAGGGGTCAGGTACACAGGGCAAACAGGATTCCTGGGGGAGTTCTTCTTGCAGGGGTGGCTTTGCCCGGCTTAGCAACATCTGCCCAGCAAAAGCTCCAGGCATGCGGAGGCAGAGCTGGATTAAAGTTGGTGCCTGCCGCTGGAGGGCTCAACAGCTTTTCTGCACCAAACTGCCGGGCCGAGGGAGGGAACACCTGAAAGGGGCAGCAGGCTGGATTATTGGGTTTCCAAGAACCGGGGATCCCAGAGCGTTTAGGGCTACTGACACCAGAGGTTCGTTATCAGGTCATCACGGCAAAATGGGGAAGAGACAAAGGAGGAGATGGAAATCAAAACACAAAGAGGCAGGTGGCACAGGGAGCAAAAAGTAGCGTCGAACAGCGAAAGGGCTTTACACTCAAGCAGAAAGGCAACTCTGATCTCCAGCCTTTTGGACTCGGATCCAATAAGCCCCCCGTCTGAGGTTTGAACTATGAAGGGTGGGCATGGCACGCACAACGCACCGCCCTGTTTGAGAGTTGGCCAGCTTCAGACTCCCAGCTGAATCAGCCACACCTGATCCCCCCAAAGCCTTCTGTCTGGAAACACCCAGGAATGGATTAGGCTCTCCATTGCTGCCATGAGTGTGTTTCGAAAGGGTGGGGAACACTCACCATTTCCTCATCCTAGCAGTGAATAACACGCCAGGTATGGCAGAAGAATTGGGTCTGAGGCGGAGCCCCACCACCCACCTTCAACATCCTTGGCTAAAGTTCCTTTTTGTGTGCAGCAATAAGAGAACAGTAACCTTAAGCATGAACAGAAAGCATTCCGCTCCCGAGCACGTAGCCCCCCACGTCTAGGCTTGTGAAGTGCGCTCCCACCCTCAGAGGACGAATCACCACCTTCCCACAGCGGTAAGGGAAATGCACTCTGCACACGCCCCGAGACCCTCTCATGCATTCACTCCAGCCGCAGCGTCCACTTCTGGCTCATTGCTGGCGCTAAAAAACACCAGTCTTTTGAAAAACCCAGAAGTGGCTGAGCGGCGTTCTCTTTTGCGCGCGTTTTCCCCGACGTTAAAGCCCGGTGCGGTCCGAACGGGATTACTCCTCCTACGTAAAGTGGGCTCAGGATCGCAACCTTCGGGAGGCAACTGGGCGCAGCTCAAGGCTGACGACTCCCCAAGGAGAAGCGTCCGTGGGGAGCTCCGCCGGCGCGCAGCCCAAAGTAAGCGGCAGCCTTTACCAGCCTCGAGGGCCGGATAAATCCCTGGGCGTTTGGCGAGCGAGGGAAAGAGCCCATACGTCGGACCCACCTTGAGCTGGCTGGAGCAGCCGTACTGGATGAGCGGCGTGAAGGTGGTGAGCTGCAGCTCGGCGTCGGGCTGCCAGTCGTTGCCGGCCAAGTTGGGCATCTTGGTGACGTTGTAGCCCAGGTTCTGGCACATGGGGATGCGGATGGCATCGCAGCGGCGCTCCTCCTCGTCGAAGCCGCGCGCGCCTTGCGCCCGCAGGAGAAGCAGGAGCAGCAGCGGCGGCAGCAGCAGCAGCAGCCGGGCAGCGTTTTCCCCCGGCTCCGGGGCCATCGCCCAGCCAGCTGCCCGGCTTCCCCTTCGCCGCCGGGCTCCAGCCCAGCCCGAGAGACACGAGGAAGCCGCGAGGCGCCACCCCAAAGCGGCCCCGCCGACCCAAAACGCCCGTACAGTCCGTGCGCCCGGCCCGTGCGCCCTCGGAGCGCGCGTCTGGCTGAGCCGGCGGCGCAGCGCGGGGTGACACCAAGCGAGGCAGCCCCTCCAGCGAACGCCAGGCGCCGCGGCCAATGGCGGAGGCCGGCGAGGGGTGGGGGGAGCAACCTGCCCGGGGGAGGGGCCGGCGGGCGGGGGAGGGGCCGGCCCGCCCCGATAGGGAGCCGCGCCCACCGAGGGAAAGTTAGAAGCCCGCGCGGGGTCACTTTCCCGGGAGCGGCGGGGCGACGGCGGCCGTTTGGAAGAGGCTTCGGTGCCCCAGGGCGAAGGAGCGCCGCGGCGGAGCTTGCTTAGCGCATTCGGCGGAATTGAAAATGACCGAACCGCCTGGGAAGTGGAGGGGACAGACTGCCGTCTAGGCTAGCTCCGGCTTGGGGCGCAAGGCTGCAGAGGAACCAATTCCAAGGGGCCGAGGTCTCTTCTTCCCCTTCCTCCAATATTTTTTTTGAGGGGGACAGCTTCCGCCCTCTCCAAAGTTGATGGGCATTGCCATTTAAATTTTTTGGGGGTGCAACACGTGATCAATTATGTGGGGCAGGGCTTAATCCAGTTGGCACCCCTGCAAGGCTGCAATTCTTTGCAAACTTGCTCGGAAGGATCTTCGAGCTTGCTGCTGAACAAACGTGAACAGGAGCACGTATCTTATGCATTTTGTGGCTTTAGAATCATAGATATGTACAGTTGGAAGGGGCCCCATTCTGGTCCAACCCCCTGCAATGCAGGATTCCCAGGGTGGCCTCGAACCACCAACCAGACACTCTGAACAGAATTTACATCCCGCTCGCTGTACTGGCCAGCTGTTGAGGGTAACTTTTTATGCCTTGTGACACTTGTGGTGCAGTGGGTCAGTGTGACCGGCTGTTAACCAGAAGGTTGGTGGTTCAAGGCCACCCAGGGATGGCTGTGGGCAGGATTCCGGCATTGCAGGGGGTTGGACTAGGTGACCATCAGTTCCAACTCTATGATTCTATCAATTTATTTATGAAGAATACTCGTGGGCTAAAATGTCATTTAAGAAAATCAAAAGTGGTTTACAACAATTACACACAAATTACGTTAAAAAGCACATGAAAACACTTAACTCACATATCACTTGCTATTACTGCAGACGTTTTTTTCAAAATCCTTGCAGCATAGAAATGTTTTCAGCAAACATTTAAAGGTTTAAACAGAAGGTGCCTGCTATTGGATGGTACTTGACAGAACCTGTTGGCATCTGTCTGTCTTGGGAGATAATGGAGGAGTGCCCCTTTGGGAGGGAGGTCAAGCTACTGGAAGGTCGCAGCGGCTGCTGTGGCTGTAGAGACATGTTTGGTTGCAGCCGGGGCAGGTCATGTCCATGGAATGGAAGATGGCAGGATCTCTCCCAAGGATGTGCTCTATGGGGCACCAGGCCAGTTGGCAGACCAACTCTGTGTTACCATGATGTCTGCAAACAAGACGTGAAGGCCGGCAACATTCACCCTGTCATGTGGGAATCCACAGAACTGGGAGAATGACACTAAAAGTTTGGTTCCTTATCCATTAAGTCCCACCAGCTATGCCACAATGGGAGCTATTGCTATGGTCAGAAGCTATTGCTTAGTCAGAAGCTTCATTGTATTCAATAGGGCTTATTCCATGGTAAGTTTAACAGTGCAATCATACGCTGTTATCTACACTGGTTCCCACTATGTTTCCAAGCACAATTCAAAGTGTTGGTGCTGACCTTTAAAGCTCTAAACAGCCTCGGCCCTGTATACCTGAAGGAGCGTCTCCACCTCCATCATTCAGCAGGGACACTGAGGTTCTCCCCCAAGGACCTTCTGGCAGTTCCCTCATTGCGAGAAGTGAGGTTACAGGGAACCAGGCAGAGGGCCTTCTCGGTAGTGGCACCCTCCCTGCGGAACGCCCTTCCCATCAGAGGTCAAGGAAATAAATAACTACAGTGGTGCCTCGCAAGACGAAATTAATTCGTTCTGCGAGTTTTTTCGTCTTGCGAAGCACGGTTTCAATTTTTTCAAAAAAATCTTCAAAAACCTCAAAAAAGGCTACCACACCGCGTGCTATGAGTTGCTCCGCGAAGTCAAGTCGCAACTGCACCTCTTCAAGCAATGCACCCTGTATTACTGTAACGGTTTTAAGAAAAAGGAAACAAACTTGCAAGATGTTTCCGTCTTGCGAAGCAAGCCCATAGGGAAATTCGTCTCGCAAAGCAACTCAAAAAACGAAAAACTCTTTCGTCTTGCGAGTTTTTCGTCTTGAGAGGCATTCGTCTTGCGAGGTACCACTGTACAACTTTTAGAAGACATCTAAAGGCAGCTCTGTACAGGGAAGTTTTTGAAGTTTGATGTTTTATTATGCTTTTATATTTGTTGGAAGCCACCCAGATGGGCAGGGTACAAATAATAACATTATTGTTATTGTTATTACGCATGTCCAGCAGTTAGAACAAGAATAGTGAACTCCTCCTGAGTGTTGTTGGACTCCAGTCCCCCTCATCCCTGACTATTGGTCATGTTGGCTGGGGTTGATGGGAGCTGGAGTAAAACAACAGCTCCATCAGGCCTCTTCTCCCTCAACAAGATTGCTCAGTCTGTAGAGCGTGAGACTCTTAATCTTGTGCTCGCAGGTTCGAGCCCCACAGTGGGCAAAGCAATTCCTGCATTGCAGAGGGATGACCCTCGTGGTCACAACTCTATGATTCTATGAGCTGTTACCATTCCAACACACTGCCTCAGTGGGAGAGATAGGAAGCAGGACTCAGTGCATCGTTGTTGTTGTTTAGTCGTTTAGTCGTGTCCGACTCTTCATGACCCCATGGACCAGAGCACGCCAGGCACTCCTGTCTTCCACTGCCTCCCGCAGTTTGGTCAAATTCATGTTAGTAGCTTCGAGAACACTATCCAACCATCTCCTCCTCTGTCGTCCCCTTCTCCTTGTGCCCTCCATCTTTCCCAACATCAGGGTCTTTTCCAGGGAGTCTTCTCTTCTCATGAGGTAGCCAAAGTATTGGAGCCTCAGCTTCAGGATCTGTCCTTCCAGTGAGCACTCAGGGCTGATTTCCTTAAGAATGGATAGGTATGATCTTCTTACAGTCCATGGGACTCTCAAGAGTCTCCTCCAGCACCATAATTCAAAAGCATAAATTCTTCGGCGATCAGCCTTCTTTATGGTCCAGCTCTCACTTCCATACATCACTACTGGGAAAACCGTAGCTTTAACTATACGGACCTTTGTTGGCAAGGTGATGTCTCTGCTTTTTAAGATGCTGTCTAGGTTTGTCATTGCTTTTCTCCCAAGAAGCAGGCGTCTTTTAATTTCGTGACTACTGTCACCATCTGCCGTGATCATGGAGCCCAAGAAAGTAAAATCTCTCACTGCCTCCATTTCTTCCCCTTCTATTTGCCAGGAGGTGATGGGCCCAGTGGCCATGATCTTTGTTTTTTTGATGTTGAACTTCAGACCATATTTTGCGCTCTCCTCTTTCACCCTCATTAAAAGGTTCTTTAATTCCTCCTCACTTTCTGCCATCAAGGTTGTGTCATCTGCATATCTGAGGTTGTTGATATTTCTTCCAGCAATCTTAGTTGCATCAGTTTTGCCAAAAGCCCAGCTCCATCAGGCTCTTTGAAAATGCTCCTTCCCGTTTCCTACTGAGGCTGCAATGCTCTACACACCTACAGTGCGATCCTATGCGCATCAACTCAAACCCACTGAGCTGAAGGAAGCTCTCTCCTGAGCAACTGTATATAAGGTTCAACTGGGAATTCTTCTGAGTAAGCATGCCTAGGATTGGGTCTGTGCCAATACTGTTGAGTGTGACAGGATTGCTTTTGTTCTCTCATCTCCACGCCCTCTTCTGCATCTCCCAAACGTCTCTCACACCCTTTTCTAATCCTCGCACATCTTGCAAGGGTCCCCCTCTCAGATAAGACCCATCTACAACCCTCTGCAGGGAGTTGCACCCATTCATTATGTTGCAGCATGTGCCTGATAAGATTCAGCCTAACACAAAAGAGTCATTGTTTCCCCCTAAATAAGAGCAGACAGCTGTGGTATTCCACTGGTCAAACAACTAATAAACCATTTTGCATAGGAAGAATAAGGGTCAATTCAAACAACTAAATTGTGGGGGGGAGACAGATGGGAATCCAGTAGAAGATAAGTCAATGGGCCAGGAGACATCTGGAAAATCAGACAAATGATCCATGCATTGCTTAGATTAGTCTTCCCCAAGAAAGTGTCATCCAGATGTTCTAGACTACAATTTCCACCAGGAATGGAAGCAGTGGTGGGAGTTTTAGTCCATAACATCTGCAGGGCACCAGCTTGGGAAAGGCTAGTCTCGTCTGCCTGGAAATAGCTCTTCAGGGTTTGGGGCAGTTGGAGAGGCAGTGTAGTGTAGTGGTTAGAGTGCAGAACTAGGACCCCAGGGTTCAAATTCTCACTTGGCCACAAAGCTCACCGAGTGACCTTGGGCCAGTCCCTGCCTTTTGTAGAATCACAGAACTGGAGCTGGAATTGTTCCTGAGGGCCATCTTCTAGTCCAATCCCCTGCAATGCAGGAGTCTCAGCCTAAACTACGTACCTCACAGGGTTGTGGGGATTAAATGAGGAAGGGGAGGACCATGTACGCTACCTTGAGTTCCTGGGAGAGAAAGGTGGCATATGAAAATAATAATAATAATCTCTCTGGGAAAATATAAAAGTTGTGCATTTGAGCACAATATTCAGAACTCTTGTAGATACAGATAAATCAATTAATACTTATCAAAATAATTGGGGAGGCATTAGATACCAACCACCATCTGGACTGGATATGGAAAATGTTCCTCAACAAACAATTAGCACAAATTTAAAAGGAAGTTTCCACAAATTCAATTTTTTGTGTGTGCTGGTGCTCAGCTTCCTGCAGGGCTTGGGCCCCTACTTACGCTGCAGCCAGCATTTCATGCTGGAAAACAAAGCAGCAAATACATTTATTTTTTGAATTTATATCCCGCCCTTTGTCCCCGAGGAGCCACATAGAGCCAACGCACAAACAATTTAAGAACGAAAACAACAACAACAAAAAGCATTAAAACAGTCTAAAAACAATTAGATCTATAAACAGTTTCCATTTAAAGCATTCTTCCATCCCTTGGGATAGCTCAGTCAGCAGAATATGAGACTCTTAATCTCAGGGTTAGGGGTTTGAGCCCCGTGTTGGGTGAAAGTTTCCTGCATTGGGTTGGACTAGATGACCCTCGTGGTCTCATGATTTTATTATTTTGGGGTTGTCTCTGGGATGATGCTGTTGCTGAGATAAGCCTCATTATCTGCCCATGGTTAAAGAGCTTGTTATCAGTAGTTCCTGGTGACAATGAAGAAGAACCTTCTAAGGACTTGATTAGGTTTCTCTTTGTAAAATGGGGGGGGGATGTATCTCATGTCCTTATGTTATATTGTATACTTCTGATGCATACAATAAAAATAAAATGAAGATATATTTTAGTATATAATCATTATTTTCAGCTACTCTTCCCCACCCAGGACTCTACTGGACTAAGGATAATATTAAAGGGTAAAGGGACCCCTGACTATTAGGTCCAGTCGTGACCGACTCTGGGGTTGCGGCGCTCATCTCGCTTTACTGGCCGAGGGAGCCGGCGTACAGCTTCCGGGTCATGTGGCCAGCATGACTAAGCCGCTTCTGGCGAACCAGAGCAGCGCACAGAAACGCCGTTTACCTTCCCACCAGAGCAGTACCTATTTATCTACTTGCACTTTGACGTGCTTTCGAACTGCTAGGTGGGCAGGAGCAGGGACCAAGCAATGGGAGCTCACCCGGTCGCGGGGATTCGAACTGCTCACCTACTGATCGGCAAGCCCTAGGCTCTGTGGTTTAACCCACAGCGCCACCAGCGTCCCAAGGACAATATTTGCCCTTTGCTAATACAGTATTTTCCCAGCATATAACTTTGGCCATGTAAGCCGGCTCTGACTCAAGGCTGATTCACACAATTCTCTGCATGTGGGGCAGATACAGGGCAACTGAATTCTTATTCAGCCAGACCAGGAGTGCCAACTTGGCCCTGTAACCATCGGTGCCCGGGGTTGTGTGTACCATGCAGCATGCATGGCCCTGGCACCTAAATTTGTGGGTGCCTAGCCCCTTCATGGAGAATTTTGTGGGTGCCCAGGTCCCCAGGGAGTTGGCACCTATGAGCCTGGCTTTAGAACAAAGCTCCCGTCTTAGCATGAGATTAAACATTTACAGACTTTATCATATGCTGAATCAGGCTAGTGATGGAACATATTGATGTGGAAGAAAGGGCTCGGTTCAGCTCGCGACAGATGACATGCAGAGATGGGGCAATCGTGTTTAAAGATAAAATATTTATATCACGCAAAATGAGGTTTACGCCAATGCCCACAGCGCAACAAAGAAAAGTGCTGTTTCCCAGCACTGTAGTCACTCCACAAATATATTTATATGATCAGCCGTCCAAATCTGACCTAAGTAATTCCTTGCAGTACTTAAAAGTGCCAGCACAGATGGGTTTAGAATTTAGACACCACAGAATGTTGCAGATTGTGACTTCCTCCTTTACTGTACTTTACACAAAGGCACATGTCAGATTCTTCATTTTTACCTCCATATTGTGCACAAGGAAGTTGACTTTAAATGTATAGTTTGGATGCGTCATTCAGAAATACCTTCCTGAAAGAATATGGCACAAGTGCAAAACATGGAGTTGTTGCTGCAAAACAACTGCAACAGTTTGGCACTGATGTGGAGGGGATTCCAAATTTTGGGATTCGTAGTAAATGTTAAGTACAAACACCATGTTTGATGTATCAGCTGCTCAGTTTGTCAGGAGCTGCAAAATGCCAGGTTTCTGCTGCAAAACGATGCAAAGAAAAACCGTGCAAAACTTGAGCACGGGTTTGGAGAGGATCCCAAATTTTGGGGTTGGTAGTTAATTTTCCTGCAAGGAGCCATCGCTGCATCTCCTAGCAGCAAACTTGATTGTTCATGCATTATAAGGAAAAAAAACCCTGCTCCTTTTCCCTTATGGGGCATTCCAGAGTTTGTACAGAGTCCTCCTAAGGTTCCCTATCAGTAGGAGAAAGTCAACAGAGGTCAACCAGAGTATACTGAGAAGCAAAGTGGCTAGTAAGCCTGATCTTTATTAAAGGAACTGTTGCAACAGGGTCCCCACTCACCACACGCAGGAGGAAGGAGAACCCTGAACAATGGTGCGCAAGCCCTTATATAGACTTTTGAAATTGCCCAAGACCACCCCCTAAAACATCATACATACATCACAAAAGGAGGCGGTCTACAGCAGAAATCCTGCTTGCCAGGATACCAGATAATGGTCACTGATTGCATTACCTGGGCAGTCTGGCTATTCTTTTGTGATGGTTAATACTTTAGTTCCTGAATTAACAGGCTCACAGGCTCACCCTATTCATACACAAATATGCCCTTAAGACAGGATTTGCAAGCGAAAAGACAACGGAAAGGCTTTCCCCATTTGTCTCCCTTACTGCAGGGAGAGGTCATTGGGAGAGTCAAAATGGCTTCAGGATTGCTCTCCCGTACTATTTCAGACCCATGGTTTATATATTTAGATACGTGTGCATTTATCAATATTTATTCTATATTTGAGACCTTAAAATTCTTACAACACAAGCATTGCATGATTCTGAAATATTTTGATATGTTTAATCAGGATGCCCCAGCGCACCACTGAGAAAAGGACTACAATATTCCTCCTGCTGAGGAAGCAGAGCAGAACATTTGGGATACTTTGACATTCACTCAGTGATACAGTCTGCCTCCATATAAGGCAGCTCCCCATGTTACCTGGGCTTGCCCTGCTCTCAGACTTGTGGTAATTGCTTTTAGAACCAATAGGACTTTAAATGTAATTATTGTTACCAAGGATTGGCCAACAGAGTTGCAAAAACTTTGCTACTCTTCCTTCCAGTCCTGGCACACCTCCAACCATTGGTAATTAATCTAGGTGTGTGATGCTTCTCCAGCCAGCTTGCGATCTCTAACTTAAAGGCATTGGTGGGAAGATGCATGCAGGGTTCATAGATTTCTCGTTCGGCATGCATGAGTTAAGTGAGGAGGCATTTGGATTCTGATACCATCAGAAGTGTGGGATGTAACATAAGCAGTCAAGTACAACGCTTCCTGTTTGCCTAGAGTGGACACAGGGGGATGTTGATCCACCCAGTTGAACTTCCTGTTACACCTGGTCTGGAGCATCCTTCCTTTGCATGTGACAAGGTAGGTAGGCATGACCCTTGCAGACCCCACAAAAGGTCCAGTCACACAGCCACCTTCCTCTTTTGATGCCTTTTCTTCTCTTGGACTGCACAGCTGGCTCTCTGCCAGCAGCACATGGGCCCATCCTTACAAAGATGTAAGTCACACTGTATCTACAACTACTAGCTAAAGCCTGCCTTCAGGGATCCAACTGTGAACTGAATGTGAGTAAACTTCTTATTACTTTTAAAAGAAGCTTCTTGTGTCTTTATTCTTTTTAGAAGGGATAAAAGGAGTCATACCAGGAATATGAACAAAGCCAGATTGGATTGCTTGAGTAAAGAGATTAAGACGAATCTACCAACTAGCTTCCTGCTATCTATTGGGGAATGCACTCTGCTGATGACTCACAAGTGTGAGTGAGGAACGATACTATTAAATCAATATATCCTCTCCTAGTATCTACAACATTCCCACAACAAGTTCTGCAGGCATTGGCCGTAGTGACTCTCCCAGTAAGTATGCAAAGGATTTCAGGCCTGCCTGATGCATGTCTGCTCGATGGATTTTCTACCAGGGAACATGTAGAGAGGGGTTGCTTGCTGCCTAAACCTCAGTACTGTAGTGATCTTTCGGATGTTGTTGTTGTTGTTTTTAAAAACAGTGTTGAAAACTGCAGGTTGAAAACTGGGCTTGCATCACTGAGGGCCAAGGCGCGCAATATGTTTCTCTCAAACTCACTGTTTTTTGTGAAAGTATGATCTGCTGCTGCTATTTGCACAAGCATGGGGCAAAGTCTACCCAGCACCCTGTGATCTGTCCCTGCTCTCCCCTTCTGTGTTCTTCTGTACAAAGTATGTTCATCAGCAGCGAGGTGCTAGCTTACGTATTTGTTTCGTAAAATATATACACCGGGCCGGATTTAGGTTTGCTGAGGCCTTAAGATACTGAAGGGAATGGGGCCCTTTATATGTCCAGCTGTCCTTTGTCAGCAATAAATTGTCACTTTTTTGTGTTGAATATATGCTATATGGTAATTTATGGACCTAATAGGTATTGAAAGCCATTTGCACATGCAGAATGTAGACACCCTATATACAGAAATGAGCAAACCAGTGGTATTTTAGGGCACAGGCTAGCAGGTGGGGCCCATTACTTACATCATAGGAGCCTACACAACACAAAACACTGTTGCTGTATGTAGGTTTTATTTTACTTGTTTTTTATCTTATATTTTGGAAATGTACATCCAGTGGTTTTTTTCCTTTACATTTTTTGGGGGCCCCCAAGAGAGTGGAGCCCTAAGCTATAGCTTGTTTAAGCTTATACATAAATCCGGCAATGTGTACACCATTTGATTATAAAAACAGCAGCAGCAGCAACAACAACAGTCAGTGTGGCTTACAAAGAAGAAAAAGCGAGAAAAGCGAGAAAAAATGTGCAACAGTACAAAAAGCAACTTGGTTGAGAACAATTTTACAGAAAGAGTTACAGCTGAATACTAACCCTAAAGAAAACATGTGAAGCGAGTTGCCTAATGTCAGGGCCAGTCCCACTTCAGCCGCTCGGATTACAGCTGACGAAAAATGTGGTCATCGATGTGATCCTAGGCATGTGTTTACTCAGAGGTCCCATAGAGCTCAGTGAGATGTGCATCTCAATCCTATACATGCAGTGCATCCGTAAACTATGGAACTCACTGCCACAGGAGGCAGTGATGGTCACCAACCTGGATAATAATAATAATAATAATAATAATAATAATAATTTATTATTTGTACCCCGTCCATCTGGCTGGGTTTCCCCAGCCACTCTGGGCGGATTCCAACAAGGATTAAAAATACATTAAAATGTCACACATTAAAAACTTCCCTGAACAGGGCTGCCTTCAGATGTCTTCTAAATGTCAGGTAGTTGTTTATCTCATTGACATCTGATGGTAGGGCAT